AGCAAGGTCCAAAGTGTTGTGAAGCAGCCCGGACCCATGGGGGATTTGTGGGTCCCCATCTCCTCTAGAACCTCTGTGGGGATCCACACACCCAAAATCTCCAAAACCKGCATCTCCCAAGGTCAGCTGCACTGACCTTGCCCAGCCGATGTTTATTGTTAAAAATGCCTGAATGGAGACTCTCTTCAGTCAATTCTCTCCGTGTTTTGCTGCCCTGACTCCTCATCTCTAGCTTGAGTCTCTCTTTCTTCTTCACCTATCCACCACAGGCACAGAAAATACAYTACCCCTGTCTCTTTACAGCTGTGTTTTATATATTTAAAGGCTATTATCATATCTTCTCCCCCACACTTCTCTCCCCTCCAGACTAAACAAGCACAGTTCATTCTYTCGAGTGTGTAACAACAATAAGTTTATTTGATGAATACTCAATTTGTTTTGTGCAGTGGTTCTGATCACTCAAGTTATGCCAAAGATAACAAACATTTAGCAATTTTGTCWTCAAATCTTCAGTTTTATCAACTGTTTTGACAGCCAGATTATAATTTTTACACAAAGGGTTAGAATGAAAGCAATTGCWTTCTGGTTTTTCTGTATAAACATTTGAATTACGACTTTTACATTAGGCAATGCAATTAAAAGTATTATAGAACTGCCATGAAATATTTAACTCRGGGTTGTAAAAAGTATTCTTTTAATGATTCTTAGTATCTTTTTAAAGGAATTAGCTGTAACAATATTTCTTAAACTATATAAAAATATATATCAATAATTGCTCATTTCCACTTGTTTAACTGCTCAGCTCTGGTTTCACCAGCGAAATGGTAAGTTTATAATCTTCAGGATGTTTCTGGTAGCAATGTATTTTATTTTATTTTGTTTTGTTTTGTTTTATTTTATTTTATTTTTACTTTATTTTATTTTATTTTATTTTATTTTATTTTATTTTATTTTATTTTATTTTACCAGCTTTTTTTTTGTCTGGTGCTTTTAATTAGCCAGCCTTTTTCTTTTTTTTTATACAAATGTTTTAAGGTGAGGAATTACTACAGAATATGTTTGTCTGTATGGAAAGTTTATCTTTAATAGTCACAGGGAAGAAACACTCAAAAAATGTCAGTAGGATTTTTTTTTTTTAAGAAAACATTTATATTGCATGCTGAGCTTCCTTCCAGTTCAGATTTTAGTTTTTGAAAGCCAAACTTATCTTAAGGTAAAAGCTCAGAAGTTGAAATGCAAAAACATGGGGTGGGAGCCTTACAAGCCGGGAAGTTTTGAGGCTGGGTTTCAAAGCAAACACATCACCGTAATGAGAAATGTCCTGGAAAAACACCCCGCTCTCCCCACCCAGCTCTGCTGGTCACCAGCTCCACATGGGATGCAGAGAGGAGCAGGTCTAACCCTGCAATGGTGTGGAGTCCCTGGGGGACCATCTCCCCCCAGTTTGGCTGCTGACAGCCCAGAGTAMCCTTGGGAAGTCTGCCTCTTCCCTAGAAAATGTGTACAGATCCACAAATCAAAAGACGTTGAAAACTTTGGTTTATCATGTTTAAAAAACAGGGGGATTATATCACTTTTTTCACTCAGTAGTTTTTTAGATAAGTATTTTGCTTTCCCTCTATGAAAYTCTTAGAAACCAAAAGATTGCCTTGGTCTCAGAAATGACAGTGCTGACTCAATTCCATTTACCAGGGCAATATTTCCTTGCATTCAGCAGGCTGCACAGGAGTTACAGCTCTGTACACACGTGTTTGCAGCCTCCACACCTGAAGTGCCCTCTTACGTTCAGAGATGTGCTAAGAAATGMAATGATTCATCTCAGGCTCTGAAACCTGAGACAGTTCAGCAGAGAACCAACAAAATAAATTTTCATGGATCTCAAAAGCAATTTTAAAGGACAAATTAAATCATGAGTTATTATTGAAAGGCAAGACTTGCTCCTTGCTCACATACTGCCAGGGCTTATCTGGACATGGTGGTTCTTCCTAAGCCAGACTGCATTATGACCTGGTAAAAGATGGCATYATATTGACAGGGATACAGCTTGATAGATTTTTTTTTTTTTTCATTAGAAAGAGGGCTAAATTGATGTAGGAAATCTTGGCACTGTTATTTTTGGGATTTTTTTCCCCTAGGTCTCTTGAATTATATGCCAAAGTCCTTGGAAGCTCATGATAGGGTCTGAAACACAAGYGGAAAATAAACTGTCCTTCCCTATACAAAGCTTTCTCTGTCTTACATTAGAGCTCAGTTCTTTACTGGGAAAATGTTGCTTTGTGTGTTACTGTGTGACAGCGTGCAGAGCAGCGCAAGAGTTTAAAATATACATCTAAGTCAGGGAGCCCCTTGATCTTATTTGGCTCCTAACAACTCCAAAAGTTTCCAGTATGAAACCGATGCAAATTGAAGTTATGCCCCGGTACAAATTGCTCCTGTCCTGGGTTGRAATGTCATCTGAGGTCTGACCCTGAGGTCTGACCTGGGCAGCCCAATTTGCCAGCCCATGATGACATTTCCACACTGATTTGGGAGCTGCACAAGAAAAGATGTTTTTGTGATCTGTTGGTGCTGGCTGCTTCTACTCACCAGACTCCAGGGCAATTAGGCCAAGAGAAAACGGATGCAGCAGTCACGGAGGTCTCCAGGTCTGCTCATGAGAGAGCAGCYCTTGAAGCACAAAATGTAAGGGACTCAAATCCAGCCCTGATGTAAAAAGGTTTGTGTTGTTCCTGGGGATATTGGTCCAGGAGGWGGAAAAGGTTTCTATTTTCTCCTCATCTTGCTTCCTCCATCCTGAGCTGTAACAACATTTGCCTGGAAAACACTTCATTCCTAGGTGGCAAGCGTTGAGTGCCATGTTCCGCTCGCAGGACTTTAATCAGCCAGAGAACACGGCCAGCCCCTGTTTTCTAAGCCTGCTGTTGGTAAATGCTCCGTGAAATGACTTCACTGCGCCGTAATTGTTCCTGGAGCAAGCTGGCCCAACGCTGGCAATTAAACCTTGGACTGATGGAAACTGTTAACAGGGATTGCTGCTTTGCCCATAGTGTTGGAGTTAACAACTCCAAACTCTTTCTACTTTTTCTATAAAACACGTGGGAGCTTTGTGCCTGGAATATCTGCAGCAATAAAGTGAATATGATGCTTCACTTTTGTTTGTAGCGCTAAAACTTGGAAAGAAGAACGGAGGTTCAAGATGAGATCTGGTAATTCTTGGTGAAGCGCATTCGGTCAATATCTGTGAGTTTGGTTTTAGACATCAGATTTAGATTCATGATTCTTACACAGTCATCTAAAAGGAAATTAGGTGCCTACACCTTGTTGTAAGCCAATCCTTGTAGGGCTGGCCAACTCTGTTCCATTATAAAATTCAATCTGACACCTGGTTCTGCCATCTGGGCTCTCTGGCGTTTGAGTCAAGGCTGGATTATGGTTCTCATTCAGATCTCTCCTGCACTGTCAGGTTTCCAACAGAAGCCATAATCCTGTGTAAAGGGCWGCTCAGCATCCCTCTGCCCCAGCCTTACCCAGGAACAACTTCCTGGGAGAGATAACCACGCTCTCCTTCTCCTCTGCTGGATCAATGTCTCTGCTCGGCACTGGTGCCTACAGCTAAGCTGCAGGTGAAAAATGGTGGCACTCGTGTTCCCCCAAGGCACTCAAATCCCAYCAGAAACACTTAACGCCTGCCAGCTCAGGGCCCTTCCCCTCCAAGTGGTATTTATGGGACGCGTTAGTCACGGGAGCTGCTGGAAGTGCTGCCGCGTAAATCGCAGCGAGTTACGGGTTTGCTCAGGGAGGCAGCAGCACTTCGGGGCTTGACTAATCCCTTACAGATTGGAGCTGGGCAGGGATGTGGGGAGGCACTGGAAACATCCCCGTTTACTGCCCATCATGTATTATTTAAGCCTCCTGGTCCCTGGGTTGCTGTAGCTAAGCCCGGGGCTCGTGCCTTTGTGCTCCTGCCAGCTCTTTCCCAGTGGGAGGTGAGCTCGTCCATAGSGCCTCTGACAGGCTTAGGGCAGCCACAAGAGTTTGGGATGGACAGGAAAATATTTATTTTTGTGGATAGTGAGGGATAACTCTGTATGTTGTGGGATCTTCTCAGTTTATACCTAAGGGTGGAAGTGTGCGTGTGCACTCTTGTGCACAATGGTCAAAGCAGATCTTAAAAATATATCAGTATGGGCAAAATAATACTTTTTTCTGATGGCCTTCCAGTGTTTAAAGGGGACTTATAGAAAAAGAGGGAGAATGACTTTTTACATGGGCAGACTATGATGGGACAAGAGCTAAAAGAGGAGAGATTGAGTTTAGATACTAGGAAGTTCTTCCCTGTAGGGTGGTGAGGCACTGGCACAGGTTGTCCGAGAAACTGGATACTCCATCCCTGGAAATGTTCAAGGCCAGCGTGAATGGGGTTTGGAGCAATCTGGTCTTAGTGGAAGATGTCCCTGCTCATCACAGGGAGTTGGAACTGGTTGAACTTCAAAGTCCCTTCCAGCCCAAACCACTCAATGATTCCATGCTTTCCTCACTGTGTTGTCACTGTAACTTACTAGATATGCTRGAGCAGGATCTCCTCCTACAACTACTTAATTACAAATAATAAATGACCAGAGGGGATGTGTGATGATCCTTGGAGTTTGATTTTTTCGGGACCGGTTTCCCGGCTAATTTAAGCCTCATTAGCCGGGACCCACCGAGCCCTGTYCRGTCACAGGTTGGACTCGATAAGCTCAGAAGTCTCTTCCAACCTAACTGACTCTGTGGTCCTCTATGGCAGTACGTTCTCAAGAGCCCAGGGGATGTTCCCACCAGGACATTTTTTCCCAAAACACGGGCGATCTCCGGACGCCGCGGCCACACACTAACCATGCCCTCACGCCGCCATCTTGCCCACCCCTCCCCGCCCTCGCCGCGGCGGCGCGAGGCCCCCGGYCGGGGCTGTCCGCGGCGTTCGCCTGCGGCGCTGGCGCGGCGGTGYCGGGGCAGCCTGGGGGCCTGCGCGGCGGGAGGAGGGAGCGCCATGGCCGAGGCCTGGGCCGGCTTCTCGCAGGAGGAGCTGCGGCGGCTGCGGGGGCAGCGGCCAGGTACGGACCGCGCCGGGAGCGAGGGGCAGCGGGGCCGGGAGCGGCGCGGAGGAGTCCCCTGGGCCTTGGCACCCCGTCAGCCCTCGCAGCTGCACCTGCCTCCCATCGCCCSTCAGCGCCCCGGCTCCGCAGCCCCTCCACCCACACCTCCGCCCTTCCCCTCAGCCCATCCATCCCCAACTCTGTCCTTCCCCCCGCTTTCTATCCGCATCTGTCGCTCCGCTCAGCTGCTTCATCTACACCTCTGTCCCTTCCCTCAAGCCATCCGTCCACACCTCTATCCCTGCCCTCAGCCCGTCCATCCACTCCTTTAACCCTTCCCTCAGCCCCTCCATTCACTCCTTTAACCCTTCCCTCAGCCCCTCCATTCACTCCTTTAACCCTTCCCTCAGTCCCTCCATTCACACCTCTATCGCTGCCCTCACCCCCTAAAACCACACCTCTGGCTGTCGCCTCAGCTCAGCCGCCATCCCTGCATCAAATGCCTGCGTTTTCGCAGGCAGCGCCTCGGTTCCTCCCACCCAGCCCCATCTCTCACTGTTCCCCTCATCGAGCTCCTCTGATCACCTGCAACCTCTCCTTCACATTTCCAGACTCTCCAGCCCCTTCTCCTGCGCCCACATCCCTACCAATACCCCACTCATATTCCCAGCCTCCTCTTTGCCCACGTGTCACCTTGTTCTTCCCCATTTGTCACTTCATAACCTCAGTTATAAACCACCAGACTGCCTGCCTTAGCCCTAGATCTGCCTCTCCGTGATTATCCCAAGAGTCACTTCACTCCTCCCTAGGGTTTCTCCTTTAGGCCTGCAGTCCAGCTCTCTTATGCTCCCTCCCCTCACTTAGGGATGCTGGTGTCCTTGAAAATTCCCCATTCTTAGGCTAGCAAAACATTTCCAGGCTGCTGAAGATTCCCCCCCCCCATTGCCTTCCCATGACACCCTGGCTTGTGTTTTCCTTATTTTGGTTTTTACTCGCCCAGAAAAGCTCGGTCAGAGTCTGTTCTTGATACTGAGATTCGTTTTTAATCCTTTTTCTCCACTGACAGATTTGTACGAGCCTTCAGAGCAGCAGCAGCAGCGGCAGCAGCAGCAGCCTCGCCCCCAGGCTGTCACCAAGACTCGGAAGCAACTGCAACGGGAAAAAGCCCTCCAGCAGCAATGCCAGAAGCTGGGACTGCAGGGAGGGGCAGCTCCTGTGGCTCCAGAGCAGTTGCTTTCTGCACCACAACCCAAGCCCGGGCCAGCACCTCATCCTCCTGCTGGGGATGAAAGGCAAAGTGACAGCTATGAGCAGCAGGAGGGAGTGACACCGACACCGGGAGAGTCTTGTAACGGCAGGGACAGCGCCCAGCCCCGCCCTGCAAAGCATAACACCCAAGTGGAGAAAAAGAAAGTGGAATTGTTAGTAAGTTGGTAAAATCAAGGGGTGGGGTTTGTTACTCTGTGTGGTGAAATTCTTTCATTGTGAAGTAAACTTTTCTGTGTCTGATAGGAARCTTTGAGAGATCAAATAATTCCCTTTACTATGAGGGAGCATTTGTGATGAGAAGCAGCACGTGGCTTCTCTCAAATTCTAAACTCAGAAGGATCTAGCAGGTTCTGTTTTGCAGAGATGGGCCTTGAGAGGCTGCAGCTGATGGTTGTGCTGCCTGTAATTTCCCTGCCCAGCTTCAGGCTGGGATCACCTGCSTGCAGTCCCTACACCACTTTGAGAAGTCACATTCGTCCTGTGGGTGCAGCTCACCAGCAGTATTGACTGTTCATCTCATTTTTGTGGTGGGACACACGCAGACACTGACTGGAGAGAAGACAGCTGGAGGTTTGCAGAGAACTTTTTCACACTGTGGAGAGCAAATGACATTTATCTGCATCATCTCCTGAATCTGCTGGATTCATCTGAGCCTGGATGCTTGAATTTAAATCTTACTAAAAACATTTCCGTGTGTGAGGTTTTAGGAATAGAGTGATAAGGACAAATCTGAAGAGAAATGTTTGTTAACAGCTGAGTTATTCGGGTATTTTTAAATTCAGGCTCCGTGAGAGAAGGTATGAAGAACACAGTGGGGTGGAAAGAAGCAAAGCAGTTGTTTCTCCTAAATCCTGCCCAGTTGTTCTGATGCAGRTTGTGCCCCCTCACCTGAGACCTGGCCTTCCATCCTTTGGGATGGTTGTATCTCTTAGGAGATGTAGCCTAGGAAATTGAGTCAATATCAGTCTGTCCCTGGTGGCAAAAGTGAATTCTTGTTCTTCCTTGTTGGTCATTTTCATTACAATTTCTGTATTATAAAGCAGACCTGTGAGGGAATCTGTTTTATGGAAWAAAGTTTTCCAAAACAGAGGCTGTGTTGGCAGACGGAACAGATGGCAACTTGTAGTATCCAGTAAAAAATCTGAATGAAAAGTTCCATCCATTTTTGACTCCAAAAGTGCTCCATGTTCTTTCTTCCAGGAGAGCTGCATTAACTAGCAGCTTATTTGATTATGCAGATTTTAGTTCTGATCAGGACATTTCATCTGGGAATGTTTTGTTGATCTGAATGGCTTCTTGCAGGTGATTCTTCTTTCCTCAGAACCAAAACCTGTTTATTGTTCCTTTGACTTTTTAAAGAGTTTGCTCCAGAGTATATGACTGTGAATATTTGTGTTATATGGGGAGCAGGGAAAGAAATTAATTTTCTGTTAATTTTGATGTTCTTGTCAATGAGCAGRCAGGAAAAAGCCCGATGGGAAATCCTCCAGCAAGAGCAGCGGCTGATAGAAGAGAAGAATAAACGCAAGAAAGCACTCCTGGCCAGAGCTATTGCTGAGAGGTAGGGGCTGAGCCTGGAGAAGGGCTTGCTTCTCATCTCAACCAGTTGCAAATCTTGATTTAAATATCACTTTTTCCTCCTCTCTGTGCTCTGTGAGCAGCTGTGATGGATGTTTCCCTTTGATGACAAGTGCTGGCTAAGAAGTTGTGACTAAGCTTTTCACACTTCCAAAGCTGCAGCTCTGCACGCAGATGGARAAGTTGTTACACAACTTGAGGATTAGCTGAAGTCCTAGAATTTGTTAGTGAGGTCATGTTTGGAAGTTGGGGTGCTCAGATGCTTGTCCCTGTTCTGGTCCTGRTTTGTTTTTACTGGATTTAAGGGAAGTTAATTTGATTCGTAACCTATGAGAAGAAACTGCAGCTATTTCTGTTTGGACTTTGGCTTCTTAGTGTGTGAAAAGTGCTGATAAGAGAAGATGATCTGTTTTAAGAAGGTGYTGTTTTACCACTGGATGATCAGAAATTATAGAAATTCACATATTCTCACAGTTCTTAGCTTTTGCTCTTCAGGGGACCAGGCTTTRAGGCATTGTACATCATTGTCCACCAAGGGAGTTTAAGACTACAGGGAAGGCAAGCTTTGTAGGGAGGAATGTTGGAGCAGTTGGTTACACTGGATCAAGGACAGTGATGTGAAGCTTTCAGGCTTGCTGTGCTCTCCCAGACTTGTGTTTTGTTCTTCCCATCAAAGCCCTAGCTTTGATGAACACAGCCTATGTTAACGTCCTGAAAACTGTTAAGCTCCTGAAAACTTCGTTTTCCTTTGCCAGGCAGCAGTAAAACAAAGCACTTTTATTCTGAGTCACTGTAGGACAGCAAACATGGGTGTGGCCACCAGGCTTGGTCCTTCTTCCTAGAACCAAAGGCTGAGGAGAGAAAAGATATGGAAAGTGTGTGATAGTTAGGGAGTTATTTTCATCACTCCAAGGCCTTCCTCAGGCTTCCAGCAGTACCACAGGACGTCTGTTTCCCTCCACCTGCATCAGCTGATGTAAGGAGGGATGGTGGCACTGCYTGCACACCTAATCTTGCTTTCAAGKACCTGCTTTGGGAGTAAAGCAGTKACTGAGAAGCATCATTTTGCTGTTGATGATGAATGATGGGAAAGTGACGTGGTGCAAAAGCTTGTTGAAAGTTACTTAACTTGCTTGGGAGTGAAATCCATCAAAGCTTGTTGCCCTTAGCAGCATTTAGTTTACAGGACTTAGGAATGAATAGGCCAAGTTGAAAAAGGTTATGTAAGGCTTGATTGAAATCCTTTGTGTTTGATGWAAAACTTTCCATTCACTTCATTGGGATTTGGCTGGGCCTTTTGGGAATAATTTTGCAAAATGGAAATCAAGCTTACGTTAGGTGACTTTTTGGCCTCTACTAACTGGGCTTCTTTGAAAGGGGATATTTGCTGGGCTAAAAACCCTTCCCCCTCTCTCTTCCCCCCAAGCCATTTCCTGTTTCCTTACACTGAGAACTACTTAGATACAGCAGCTTCTTGTGTGTTTCCACAGTGAAGAAACACAATCCATTTTAGGCACTTTGATTATAGTCATTACATAATTTTGCCATAGTCCTTTAATAGYAGGCATTTTAGATCCCTGTGGATGCTAAAAAAGATCAAAAGCCCTACTCCATAAAGGAGAAACCYTCTGAATAGGTCCTAAAGAAGTCAGTCACTCTGCAAATGAAATGGGGCCCAGTATGTCAAGAAGAGAGGCTTGAAAAGGAAATTTTAAAAAAATCACCTTCCTTTTGCAGATCCAAAAGAACTCAAGCTGAAACAGTGAAACTGAAGAGGATTCAGAAGGAGCTGCAGGCTCTGGATGACATGGTGTCTGCTGACATCGGAATCCTGAGGAACCGCATCGACCAGGCCAGCCTGGACTACTCCTATGCCCGGTAAGCAGCACCAGGGAGGAGGAAATAGGGAATAGCCCTGACTGGGAGGAGGGGAAAATGCTGCTTCCTGTCACTGAAGCAGTAATGAAGTCTTGTCACTGCAATAATGTGTAGGTAAAGCGGTCACAGTCTGGGGGGCTTTCAGATCTTGAAGTGAAAGTATGATTTCTATTTCCTAATCTTTCCCTTGGAATCTGGGACCTGAAGCAGATTTTCTGACTGGAGACTGCTGTCACAAGACATAGGTCCTGTTTTATTGTTTCAAGGTTGTTTATTCTCTGGGGGAAAGATGTTTTTCTTGAAAAGTCCTGAAATGGAAGTCCTGTATAGGGAAATTTGCTTGTTGATGACAGCTCTAGTCCTCCTGGAATCAATGGGACTAGTTAAGCTTAAAACATATAATCCTGCTGAAGTGCTTTTGCAACTAGGACCAAAAATTGAAGGAGGGAAGCTTTCACCCTTCACAATGTGCCTTTAATCACTCTGGTTCTGAAGATTTCCTTAAAGGCAAAAAATTAATGGGAACACCCCATTAGCTGTGGGTAAACCACAACATCAGTAGATAAACARCAGCATGTTTGTGCAGCCAGTTCATAAAGCAGAAATGTTCATTTGCGGTTTTGGGTTCACTRTTCAATGTGTTAAATGCTCATTTCTCCTTCTGATTTCTGCCATACGTTGACCACAGGCCAATAAACATGGTAATTAGTCTTGAAAAAWATAGCAGTGGTAGCTAAAAAAATTAAGWTTTCTTTGGTGTAATTATCATTTCAAATGTCTTAAGATTAACTGTAGTTAGTGTAGCTGATTGCATGTGAATACAGAATTTCATGTCCTCATGAGGAAAGCCATTTCAATGGATTTTAGGTATCATCTGGTTTCTAAAACCATTAAATACTSCTGAAATCTTCTTATTCAAGTTTTGTAATAATGTATCTGTTTGAAATGCTTACTSGCTAAAGAGTATTAGCAGCTCTTGMYATTAGGAAAGCAGTTTTTAATGACAATAGCAAAAGGAGATGCTTCCAAAATCTTKGAATAAACTTCATAAATTTCACCAAAATCCTAATGACTTTCATGAACTTAGTGTTTTCTTCAGAGAGGGATTTCAAAATGTGAGGTAGATAGTTCCAGTATTGTAGTTGGCAGGCATTATGAGCCAAAGCCAATTTACTTTTGAGTCTTTTAAAGCAATTTTTTAGTACTTGCCTTTTTTTTTCTAGGACTAAAACACAAGGCCTTTATTTCAGTGGGTCAAAAAATGCAATATTAAATAATCCTGAGCACATACCTAGTCAGCAGCATCTGACAATTGCTGTGCAATAKAAKTTTTGTAAATAYGATGTGACTGTTATTCTGCTCAGRGGTTTAGCTGTRCAGATATTTCCAGCATAGCATTAGTTTTTCCATTTCAGGTATCTGCGAAATCTTGACTTTCTTGCGAGGGAAACATAAGTGGGCATCTTCTGTCCACTGCAGACATAGCCTTTACAGCTGGGAAAACGCTGTGTGGTTATTACACAAAAGAACATATTTGGGAAGGCTTTTCTATGTCTTATTTCCTCCTCTTTCACTAAGCAAAGGACCTCTCCTATCTTTCTGTTGCTTTGCTTAGGCAGATACTRGAATCTGGTTTTGTAAAAGAGCTGGATTCTTTATTCAACCACCTTATTGAAGTTAGTTTTACGAGTATTCTGTAGTCATGCTGCAAAAGCCTTTCTGTGTTCCCTTCCCTTTCCTGATGAACAAGATTGCATCTATCTTTCTTTTAATTAGAATTAATATACGGATTTACTGATGTTGTGGAAGATGCATCACTAATGTGAACACCAGCCATGGAAATTCTAGATATTCTGTGTGTGTTAATAAATATTTGAAATATTTCTTTTTTGCTGTATTTGTCATGACAGGAAGTGCAGCTTGGCAGGAGGTGAGTGTCAGGACGGATGCTTGCAATAAAATTCTACATCTGTATTGATGTCATGTGCTGTGTCAGTCTGTGCTGCTCCTKATTTTCTGAACATATGTATGGGTGGCCAGAAGAGCACATGATCCAAATGTCAGAGTGTTCCATCGAGCATCTGTATYTGTGGGGTGGTGATTGGTTTAGAAAAACACCAAAATGTTCTGTGGTGTTTTCAGTTCCCCAAGTGGGTGTTCATTAGAAGTGTGAAAACACTGCAATTTCTGATGGGTTCTTGCTGCTGCTGGTGATGCATCTCTTCAAACAGGCAGTAAAAATGGGTGTTTGTGATTCAGTTTGAGCTAGCTAACTCTTGGAATACACAACAGCAGAGGCCCAAGTGTCCAGAGAAGTTTTGATCAATTCACGCTTATTTACTTCCCTCTTGCTGATGTGGCAGCATGTCATGAACAGCTGGCACAATGCATTGCAGAGCACGTGGCATTCCAGGGATCCTTAAAGTGTCTGTCCATGTGTCAGGCTGTGATGTTCTGTGAGAATTAACCGTGCAGGAATGCTGATGGTTTTGCAGGAAGCGCTATGACAAGGCCGAGTCGGAGTACGTGGCAGCCAAGCTGGACCTGCAGCACAAGACRGAGATCAAGGAGCACCTGACAGAGCACCTGTGCACCATCATCCAGCAGAACGAGCTCCGCAAGGCCAGGAAGCTGGAGGAGTTAATGCAGCAGCTGGACGTGGAGGCAGATGAGGAAAACCTGGAGCTCGAGATTGAAGTGGAGCAGATGCTGCAGCAGCAGGAGGCAGAAGCAGGGAGACAGYCCAGCCAGTCACACAGCCACACTGGGACAGCCAAGGAGAACCCCGCTCCCAGTGCTGGTGGGCAGGAGAGCCAGCATGCCAACCATGCTGCTGCTTCTCCTGCAGCTTCTGAACAGTCTCAAAACCCCAGGACCAAATCTCTCTCCARCATGGACAGCCAAACTCAGGCTGTAAATGTGACTTCAGGAAGCTCCCCAGCTTGTTCTCCTACATGACTGCTGGATGCAGATAATCCAGTGGTTATGGGTGATGTACTCTCTGCAGGCTTGTGGCTGAATGTTGTATCTGGGCTTCAGCAGTGCCGTAATATGCACTTCATTTCTCTTTTCCTTTTATATTGTTTTCAAATTTTGAAATCTCTTTTCTTTCCACAAGACTTATTTGAGGTTCTCTATCTGTCATCATCATTCCAGTGTACATTCATGTTCTGCTGCCCAGCTCTTAGGGGGCTTTTGTACCTTCCTGAAACAGGACATTTGGAAGTGAACAGTAGGGTTTGTCCAAAGATTTTCTGCCATGGGGTGATCACAGATGCCTGTTCTGAGCAGCATGCAAGAGATAGATATCTGCAGGAGAAAACATCACGCCTTGGTCTGCTTCAGAACACRTTCTGACAACTGCAATAGGATGTTTGTCTTCCTTTGTATCCATAAGGGATTAGTTTCCAACGGTTTCTCATGCTGTGAAATCCAAGTGCTTACTTTAATTGCCTTTGTAGAGGAGAGTCTTTCCTGATTTAAAGGAAATTTGCATATAGAGGCAAATTACAAAGCYAGTTGTAATACCTCATATTTATCACTTTGCCTGTTCTTCCAGGTAATGCTGAATCATGAAGTTGTACATGGATAACACTATGAGCTATGAAATTACAGCTGCYATGGTTTAACAAAAGTGATGGGTTACAGTTTAAGACAGTGCAGAATGTAGAAGTAGAAACACACAAAATAGACTTTGTTACATTTAAAGCTGTTCCATTGCAGAGATTTTCTCTGTTGTAGTTGCCTCAAAGTGCCAATAATTAGCCTGGGATCTTGTAATAAATAATCCCCACAGTATTCTGGAAATTAGCCTATTTTTGTAGAACATTCAATGCATTTCCTTCCCTGAAGARCAGGTTAGCACCCCACAAAAGTTCAGCTGAGTTGTTCCATTGCTGTTGAAAGGCTTTAAAAAGCTGTCCCAGGTGGAGAAAGTCTCAGGAATTAAAAGAGAACATAGGAAAATCTCCCATAGACTGATTGCAGCTGCAAACCGTGGGGACTGCCCTCAGAGTTACCCTCTTTGTAAGAGGGAAGTGGGGGAATGGTTCCTGCAATACCTGACCTGAAAGTGTTGGTCTGAGTTTATGAATGAGCTGCTGAATGACGCCACCGAGTCTATAAATGGGACACTGATTGTCTCTATGGCTTTAACAGTGGAAAAACATGTCACTACATTTCAGTCCTATTCTATTAATAAATCAGTGCATCTTGTACGCAGTGTGTTTACTTTCGGTTGTGATATCTGAGACTAATACATGGATCCAAAACTGTTTTTCCACAGGAGATGATAAATGGGAGAATCAGATATGTCCTCTGGCAACTTTCCACTGTGTGAAAATAAAACCTGAAAAAAAAGCTGTTCCAAAATATGGCAATGTRTGAAGTAAGATGGCAGGATACAGCTTGGCAAGAATCTTTTCAACTGGCTTAGGACAATGGTGGAAAATCTCTCCTGATGCCTTCCATACATGGGAGAACATGGGATAAATATGTTTTGTAGAGCAGCCACTCATAATTTGGGCTGATTGAAGTTAGAGTCTAACTCCAAAGCAGTATTAGAAATATGTATGAAGCGTTTCTCTGTTCCTGGTACACTGCATTCCCTGTTACTTTGCTGGAAGCCCTGACCTAAAAGCATAAGATTTGTTGGTGTTGTGAGAAAAATGTGACTGACTTCTTTTGCTGTATCTGCACTTGCAGGACACCTTGTAGCAGCCTGATGTAGCARCCAGGTTTTCAGAACAGGATACCAGTGACTGCAGTAATAATTTAATTGTACCATTCTCGKTTCCATCCTCTGCAGCTGTCCCCAGTTGTTCCTCAAGAGATTCAAAGTCCTAGAGGATAGGCCTGTTCCTCATTACAGTTGTGTTCAACTTGTTGGGGACACACAAAAGAGCTTCTGACAGAAGAGCTGAATTCCAAATGGTATTTACAGAAATCACAGACACCATTTTGCATATAATTTGTGGTTCCCTGGTATAAAATGTGGTTTGWGTATTTCTACAGGTTGCACTTTGTTGTCACAGGTAAGATTATTGTTTGAACTCCAAAATCAGCAAAAAAATTGTAWGTCCAAAKATTTTTTTKRMMAWTKSYTWRGRA